ATCTTGGGTGGCCCTGCACGGCATAGCTCATGGCTTCACTGAGTTACGCAAGCCCCTTCGCTACAACAAGGCAGTGATCCATGAAGAGGGTGTTGGATATAGAAAATTTTAAAAAGTTAAAGGATTCAAAAATCATTGGTTGAACACTGAATATTAAGGCTTTGGAATTATATTTAAAGAATAAATGCATGTTTGTGGGAAATAAATTATCATGGTGTTTAGAGATATCTTTGAGAAACTCCACAGAGGACTGCATTGGCACTTTGGATCAATTATGGCAGTTAAGTTGTGTCTTTTTGAGAAGAGTCTGTTTTCAGACCAAGATGTTATAGAACAAGACATACAATACATTCCAGGAATGAAACTTTGGATAAGAACCTGCTATCAGATGCAAAAAGAAAACTGTATGAGGTTTTAAAAATTAAGAAGGAAATAAAAAAGACAAGCCGAGAAAGTAATGGGAAGAATTATTTTTCATTGGATTTAAAAAAGAGACTGCTTAAAGATTGGAAGAAATTTGTAATAAGGATCAGCAACTATTGGAATGGATTACAGAGGAAGATTGTTCTGTATTAAAAAAAAAAAGAATATAAAATCAGCTTATTTGATCTGGGTTAAAATGGGCATGTTACTCTGGGTGGTTCTTTTTGGATTTACTGATATTTTAACTGGAAAAATGTATACTAGATTTGTTTATTTGGTGTTTAAATTCTTTATTTTATAGATATTTTCTGAATCCTAATTGCTTAGTATCTATATCCTTAGTATGTAATTGTGTGATTTTTTTTTTTTTTTTAAAGGACAGATTAGCTCTTTTTGTTAGGTTAAATTTTAGTCCTTTTTTTTTTTTTTTTTGCTATTAGGGTGCCGGGATTACATTGTAGTTATGAATAGTTTAGAGTTAAGATATTGAATGTTTATTTGAATAAACATTCAAGGTTGTTATTTGGGGTGGTTATCTTTGGAATGGTTGGCATTTGGAATGAGTTGTATATTGGAGTAAGTTGTTTTTAAAGGAGAAATTGTCACTTTTTGTTATGTTAACCTTTATGTTTTGTTTGCTTATACTTTTTTATGCTTTTTAAATAGGGTTTTGCTTACAGTTAACAGTTGAGGTGTGGAAAGTAGAGTTTTATATTTGTTAACTGATTTTAGAGCTCTGTTTGGACTTTTTGATGACAATTGGGTAAGGACAAGATGTTACATTTGATTTCTTTATTACTAAGAGATGGGTTATGGGATGAAGATTTTATATATTTTTTTTTAATTAAGAGGGGTGAAATTATGAAATTGTTTATTACTTGGGATGAGGGTGGGAAGTTGCTTTCTTAAAAGTTTGTTTGTTTGTTTTGTATTCTTTCTTTTCTTTTACTTTGTATTATCTTTTATTGTTCTTTTTAAAATCTTAATAAAATTATTGAAAAAAAATACAATATTACAACACTAAGAACAAATAAAACAGAGAAAAGAGCCATGTATGTTCAGAGGAGGAAACATGTAAGCCAACCAAAGAAAATCCCTATAAGAGGTTTGCCATCCACCCTAATCCAAGGCGTGGGGATAAAGCCAAGTTTTCAAACACTTTTTAAACATGGTCATGGTGGGGGCCATAAGGATTTCTGGGGGTTTTATTTGAGAGGCAGGTGATACAACAGATAAGGCCCACTTCCTGGATCCCATTAGGCAACATTGGTTGGAGGGACTCTGTCCAATCATACATATTAAGTAGGTAGTAGATATACAGACATGTGTGTGTGTCTGTGTGTCTGTGTATGTATGCGTTCACAGAGGAGAGAGAGACATCTACGTATATGAGTGCAGTGTTTTGTATTATTTTTGTCCCTAAAATAATAGCCTAGCAGAAGGTAACAGAACTGGAACCATGGCTACTGGCATCCATAAAGAATGGATAATATTTTCTCCATCCAGAAGTTGTATTTGCACTGACAAAACCTGGCATTGGTGCCAATAGCAGATTTCCTTCCATGTTAAAACATAGATTTGGGGCTAAATTTATATTGGTAGCATGGAAAGAAAGCATGGAAAGAAAAAAATAATCCAACACATTTTGTTCCTGTTTTTCTTAATTGTTTTTAAAATTGTAAAATGCCGATCATTCAATCCCAACCTACTTGTCTAATATATCATATTGAATAAATGGTTGCCAGGAGATTTGGGTTCCAAGTCACCTTTTCACACATGATAATCCCTGGGATAACTACATCCTGAGGATAGATTTTTTTTTCCTGCACTGTATTTAGAAAGTATTAAAATGTATTTTCTTTATGTTTTGTTTTGTTTTGTTTTTTAAATGGAAATAGTGTTATCAGAGTTGTTGTTGCACCATTTACAGACATTTTCAATAGTGTGTGGAAGTTTAAATTATAAAATGATGCAAACCAGTTTGGGTGTGCATATGTGTGTGTGTCCCTTTCCCTCATGATCATCATTTCTGAGCAGAAAGATGTAACTGCTGAATTAACCAAAATCTATCTATCTATCTATCTATCTATCTATCTATCTATCTATCTATCTATCTATCTATCTAGCTTCACGTCAATTAATTACTTATACTAATTATATTAGTTTGTAGAAGGGAATAAAGCTAAATATTTCTTGCCTTTCTAGGAAGAAGGGTTCAGTTTTTTCAGTTTATATCATTTTTTATATTTTCTATATTAGCAGTGGCCTATAAAATATATTACACATTTGTTTTGCATTTTTCATCTTTGTACATCTAGGTGGATGATATATTATATTCAAGTCAACTTCAAAATGAATATAAGGGAAGTAAAGTTATACAGTTCAGGTGAGTTAATTTTAATGACAATTAATATTAGGATGATACTATGCACACATGCTTGAAATATCACTGAAATCATAGGATCTCTGACACTAGAATTATAACATGTTTATTCTTCTTCATCTGTTTCTAAGGCTGCAATTCTAGAGTTCCTGGATGGGCGTCCTATGCACAGTATAGATTCCACAGTTGAATAAAATTTCCTTCTTCCAGGCCTTAATGAGAGAGTAGTAGTAAAATTAAATGAAAGGGGGGGGGGAATCAAAAGTGGGGGGAAAGTTCCTTTGCTTTGCAGTTATCAGCCCAAGGTAATCCACTACAGGATGAAGCCCTTAAAGTTATGGGTTGTAATAAAAACATGCTACTCTGGCACAATTTGGTAAAAAAATATTTTACTACTTTCCACTCTAGAGATGAAAGAAAGAGTGACTGGACCAAAATCACCCAAATCAATCAGCTTTCTCCTCCATAAGGGAGAACTAGAACTGGTTATCCCAGCACCATAACCAGTATAAACACATTGGTTCTTTTTACCCTGTAGCAGGACTATGGAAAAGGAATTTCTCCAGGAATAATTTTTTTTAGACCATATCCCATTGCATCCTAATCAGATCTGTTTAAGAAATAAGATGCATTTTCTCATTAAATTTAACAATTGTTTAATGCATCTGCTAATGTTATTGAAACATAGGATCACCATTCTCTAGTGAGAATGTTCAATAGTTTTAGCTGTCATATTATACTAAATATACTATAAGTTAAATAAAAGGGAAAATGTTTTGCTTTAATAAAAAATGAAAGTATGTATTTGCTAATGTTATTAAAACACAGGATTATCATTCTCAAATTCAATAGCATTGGCTATCATGTTATATTAAATAAAAAGTCAAATAAAAGGGGAAATGTTTGGCTTGAATAAAAATGAAGATATGCACAGACAAATGTTTCCACAGCAACATCCATTTCAATAGTCTAAAACTTTCATGCAGGAAAGATTTCCTAAAATTGACCTTGACACCTGTGACTAGAGATGGATCTAAGGAGTTTTCTTGGCAATAGTATGGAAGCAATAGCTGCTTTCTGGGAAGCTTTCTCATTCACAATCTATCCCAGAATTCTGGCATTTTCTAGTGGAATCTTTTCCAGATCATAACCAGCCTCAAGACTATTTAGTTTCCAGGGTGAGATAAGCTCAGTCACATTTTTGCCCTCTGAGTTCACAGACATGGTTCTGGATTGCTGAAGGACAGTATCAGCTCCAGATGGGTTATTCTGATCATGTTCTGAATCCATGTGGTTCATTGTGGAAGAGGAGGCTGTTGAGGAACAATTGCAGCCCCCCATGCTGCCTTCCTCCCCTCCTACTTGAGCCTTCTCCCCAGCGTCAGCACCGCAGATTTGCTTATGAAAGCTGCTACCTTGAAACAGGTGGGGGGAGGGGATGCATGTGTTTTGGAAGCTCTGCAGCAGCAACAAACAGAGAAGGCAGCCAAATAAAAGAAGGTGGTTTCCTTCACAGAGACTGAAGAGCTCAGAGGAAAAAGAAGAGGCCAGCAAAGCCAAGCCGAGCACAGAGTTGGAAACTGCAAATGCTTTTCATGCTGCCCATTAATAAAGAAGAAAAAAATAATAGAATAAATTCCAGAGAGAGAGAGGATTTAAAGACAGGTCAGGGTCTGTAGGAGTACAACACTGTTGTATACTAGTAATAGTATAATATAGCATAGAAGTAGAATAGTATAGGGTGCAGTCATAGTGAAAATATAGTCATAGTGAAAGCCAGTTTGGTGTAGTGGTTAAGGCATCAGGCTAGAAATTTGGAGACTCTGAGTTCTAGCCCTAGCTTAGGCACAAAGCCAGCTAGGTGATCTTGGGCCAGTCACTTTCTGTCAGTCCTAGAAAGGAGGCAATGACAATCCACTTCTGAAAAACCTTGCCAAGAAAACTGCAGGGACTTGTCCAGGCAGTCTCCAAGAACTGGACATATTGAATGGATTTTTAAAAAATAGTAATAGTAATAGTAGCAGAATATAGTATAGAGAAAATTATATAGTATCAGTAGTAATAGAAATAGAGTGATAGTAGTCATAGAAAGAACTTGCACATATGTGTTTGCATATTTCGCTTTTGTATCTTGGATAGTTCCGCCCCCCCCCCAAAAAAAATAAAACATCTCCCCAACCCTTATAGGAAGATATGAAAATCCAAGTGTCTAGGGTCCAGTGCTTTTGGTGGATTTTTTGAGTCTGAGTCAATCAAATTGGGTATAGTTTAAAAAGAACCTGTGACATTCATCATAGCCCAAAAACCTGACTTTAAATATGAGGTTTTAAATCACATTATATGTATAATTTGTAGAGGTTTCTAGCGTTCACTTCCCAAAATGTGAGGTTCATGAAATCTTCCTTCATACATGGTATTTAACAGTGATAAAATAGAAAAGGAGTATACTCCCATACACTTGACATATAATTATAATTCGATGTGGTTTAGTTCAGGTTGCAACTTTAACTTTATTAAGTGTGTAGCCATTGATACAGAGCGAGGTACTAAAAGTCAAGTTAATTTTAATATAGAATATTAAAACAACAGTTTAATATAAGGGACAATTAATATGGGGCATAGTTAGGCCCTGACACAGTCTCCTGGTTAATGTGGCTTGTTTGGCTTTGGTTTAATCTGCTGTGTGCATCTTGCCATTGCGTTTTAAAACCATGGGTTAAAATGTGCAAACCTATCCATTTGTAATTTATTCAATAAGCCATAGGTTAACAAATTGTGGTTTAACTGTGATATGTGAACCCAGAGGATGGCTGTTCAACCAGCTTTAGACTTCAGCTGTCTTTGTTGAATGGTTTGTAAAACAAACACACCCAACTTGTAGACCTTTGATTTCATTGCTTTTTCTGCAGAAGAACATGTATCCTTTTAATTCAAATAATATTTCCTTACAATTTTTCCATAAGAGACATGCATTGGTATGTTCTTTGGGGTAATCTGATTTCATACTTCAAATTCTGGTAAGTCAGAAAAATAGTATAGAAAGAATTGCCTAGAGGATTATAGGAATCATTGAAGAAATTAAAGGAAAAGTCTGAGTACACTGCAGCCTTCCCTTTGACCATAAAAGGATTAATCATCTCTTACCCATAGCTGCATCAGTGACAGAATGCTGATATAGGTCTTTAAAAAACAAAAGGTCACTGTTGCTCTGTGACCACAAACAAATGTTTCTTCACTTCAACATGCAAAATTATAGTGTCATACACCATTCTCAGTCCTAATTTTGCTAGAAACAGAGAAATTGATATAGAGAATAACTGGAAATAAGAAAATCAATTTGAAATTGAGAGAGAGAGAGAGAGGGAGGGAGGGAGAGAGAGAGAGAGAGAGAGAGAGAGAGAGAGAGAGAGAGA